GTTCAACGCTTTTTATGTCCGTTTAGAAACAATTCCTGTGAGGATTTTTTTTCCGAAAACGTTGATTTACAATTTCCATAGACTCTCCAGCTTTGGAAGTTATCAAGCTTTGGCGGCCATTTTGACGCTAATTTTACCTCTGAAACCTCTGAAACAAGGCGACCTTGACCTCTTTCAATCGCAAATGTTTCGACTTTTATTCAACGTAGAGGGATATTCACCAAAACGAAGGCAAATGAACAGGCTTTAAGATGATACCAATAACCTCAAATATCCCCAAAGACTGATGAGGGCCTGATCCCATCACGCCGTAACAATAATTATGCACCGCTTGCCAGATAGTATGCTAAAAGAGGGATACAGGGGCAACAATGTAGCGGACAAAAAGATAATGTTATTATCGATGAGCTGGTCAGATGTACTAAACTCAACTGTTTTGTGGGGTTCTTTTTCAATTATGAATGTAGTTTGATGATCGTGGTATAGATTGCATGTCGTATTTGCATTTGTTATTTGTCGTAACTCAAATGTTGCCAAAAAAAGAACGAAAAGAAACATTATGTAAGTTCAATTGTTGTTGGGTTTTTGTGTAGCTTTTTCTTGTTTGGGAGGGGGGGTGGTTGAGGGGTTTTTTTGCGAGGTTTTTGGTTTGTTTCTGTTTTGCTTTGTTGTTCTGAGTTGATTTTGTTTGGGGGGGTTTTTTTGGGGGGGGGGGGTGGGAGGTTTGTTTTGTTTGTTTTGGGGTGGGTTTTTTTTACAGTTCCCATTCCCTCTCTTGAAAAAAAATGTTTTCTTGGCTTAGAACAGTTGAACAGCTTGCCAGTGATATTGAGCGTGCGGCACAAAAGAATAGTTATGTCAGAGATTGTCATAATAGAGGCAAGTACAGTCGAACCTGCTCTAACAGCCACCAGTATAAGTCAACCACGAGTACAAACGGCCACTCCCCATTCCTCCCTTGCCTATTTTATTACTTTAATGACACTGTGTAAGACGTGCACCTGTCTGAGACAACCACTTTCTTTTTTTTTCTCTACAGTGGGTGGCCCTCTTAGACAATTTCAACTGTACCTCTATGGTTTGTCATATTGTATGCATTTACCTCCTTAGGTTTTCTTATATTCAAATTGACTTCCAGTTGACGACAGTCTACAAAGTCAGAATCGTGCCGTTGTTCAAATTTAACAACCAATCAAGCACAACAAAGGACAGGGCAATTGATCTCCTATTAAACCATGGGGTGAGAGGAAATCTTCCGGGAAGAACGAAACTAATTATTTTTACTTCTCACAGAATGTCTGGGCTTTTTTTTTAACAAAGGTTTATAATAGTCTCGAAGAACCGACAGTTTTTAAAGCTTAGCTTTCTGGAATAGATCTAATTACTATCTACTATCAATGGAGCATTCTGATGTAAAAAAGTACCCCACATAATAAAAAAAATTTAAAAAAACTAGTCGGCGACTTCTAGATTTATAAAGCTACGGATTTTTTAGAAATGTAATGGAGAATACTAAACATTCGAATCTCTTTGATCAAAAGTTTTCTTGTTCAAATATTGAAGAAGAAGAAGAAGAAGAAGAAGAAGAAGAAGAAGAAGAAGAAGAAGAAGA